TAAAGGAAAACCTGTAACTGAAAAAATTGCTTTGTGCTTTGTTTTTTTTTTACTAATACATACGAGAACATGAGAGGAATATTTAGGTTTGTAAATAACTGCATGATGGAATAACTGACTTTTTTCAGATGTGACTTACGTGTTAAGTATTTCTAGACTTTTATAGCTGGAAAGGGAAGCTGAAATATTTGAAATGTGGTTTTCTTCGGTATGTAATCAAACTATAAATGACCTTTTTGTAGTTAAAGGCCATCGGTATATTCTGATTTTTAAAACTTTGTGATGTCTCAGCAGTAAACATTTCTGTCATTCCTGCACCAATATTCCGCTGTAGCAGCTGTGGTCCCTTCATCAGCAGATCCTGCCATCTTCAGTCGCACAAGCCACAGCCAGCTTCAAGTTTCCCCATCCAGCTTCAAGTCCCATAGCATAGTCTGGAATAATTAAATAAATACAGATGAATGGTGGTGCTTTTGCTGCTGTATGGGAAGATATCAATTTATATAACCATGGATTTATTTTTTTATAACATCTTTAGATATTATAAACTATGTTTTTCTCCATGACTTGTTCATTGGCAGACTAGAAGAACCCAGGACAGAATGGCTATTTACCAGTTGGTTTATTCTCCAGGATTTTTTGCTTTTCCAGTACTGCTTAAGAAATACTACTTGTTTCTTAAGATGCTGAAAAGGATTACCCCCACAGAAGGAGAGAGATCCAAACAGTGCTGCTGAAGTGTTTGTCACCTGTGTGACTGCAAAGACAGGAGGGAATTTCTGTCACATTCTATAGACAGATCTTGCTTCATGAAGAAATACCTGATCAAGAAAGTCTTGGAAAAAGAAAAATGCATTTCACAGAAGTACAAATGTATGACTTGACGACTCTGTGTTATCAATGCTTTTTTGATGAGACACAGTTATTTTCCCGTGCCATACGGCCCTTCCCAAGGGGCGGAGCTCTGCAGCCCAGCAGCCCGATGCACGTTGCACACACAAACACACAAACTGTGGTTCTGCGCTTCGGGCGTGTTCCCAGCCAGACACTTGGGCAAGTAAATAAATAAAAAAATAAAGATCCACCATCCTGCATGAGCCCGTTTTAGGCTCCAAGCGCTGCTGCGCGGTGAAAACACCGCCTGAAATCCACGTTTAAAACAGGAAAGCCGTGGAAAAGTGACTCGCTCGGCTTTGCCTCCCCCCGCTCTCCGCAGCCTCCCGCTGCTTCCCCGCGTCTCATCACGCAGCTGCTGCCGGCGCCGGGAGCGGCCCAGCCCGGGGGG